GAACAAGCTTTCCGCATATGCCATTCGAACATTAGACTACACATAGTACCAAACAATTCATCATTGCATACAGCAACTGAAACTACCTTCCAACAGCATATTTTAACAGAGGGTATGTTTCTCACTTGAATCGTAGAGCGTTGAGGCCGCCAGGGAACCCTGTTGCTGTATCCACTTCTTCTGTTGTAGACTGACTTACTTGGTTTGGAGTAGATATTGCTAGACTTGCTGTAGGTTAACTGGATGAAATATTAATCACGTTTATCCGGTCAAGTCCTTCCTTTCGCGCACAAAACAGTCCCCGAACAGACCAAGACTTTGGACGAGATAAAACAAAATAACGTGTGAAACACGGCAAGGTTGGTTGTAGTCTAGTCTATAGTATGTAGATGCAACTAACTTTCGCTTGATTGACGAATCGCGGCGCGGAATCCATCCCAGACGTCCCAAAGTAGTTACTGTAGTGTTGCGTTCGTCGTCCTCCTTGAACCCTGTCAACCAGATTATTCACCCCAATAGCAGGTCCTAAGTCGGCAAGAACGCGCGTTATTGGTTCGTACTTATTTTGACTACTGTTGGAGCACTGCATTCCTTCAGCTGAGAGATACAACAAGCTTGTGGAACAGCGAAGAAGGTGGTCTGTGATACAATTCCTAGTCTAGACTATGGTCTAGACTGATGTGCTGCTGTTATTACACACAAATCACAACGCATCAAGCCTAAATCTCTGCCGTTCTCACGACCCTCCCGGGCACGCAAGGATCCTCTTACCCCCCATGATGATCGCCCCTCCGCCCTGCGTATACTCTATCAATTGGCTTACACACCGCTCTGCGACGGCTTCCCGTGGCGAAAGTACACATCTATTCGCGCATGTCACTAATTGTTAGCAAAGGGAGGGCGTTTTCCAATATGGCAAAATTTTCAGAATACTACTGCTGTAGTCTACGTATTATAGTTCGCCTGTGAGAGACTTGAGACAACCCTGACCCCGCCCAGTAGTAGGGAACCGCCGCGTCCGCCGGCCTGAGCCAGATCTGAGACACAGGAGGACACCTGTTTAGATCCACGTCCTCCGCCACCCCCGATGATACTCTGGCTGACGTCGATCGATCAATCGCCCTGCGTGAAAGTTGTACTCCATTTGTTTTTTCGCGTGTGTAGACTTATACTTCTACTTCCTCTGCAGTATCATAAGTTAGGGTACCTAAATGCAGTAGATTGTCTGGGTGCAACCGTGTTAGTGATGGTAGCATTAGTCGGGTTTGTAAGAAAGATATAACAAAGAAGAAGCGATGGAAAAAAAATTAAAAAAAACGAACATCTATTTCTGTATCTACTATTGGTCAAAATGTACCCTATTTTGGCCTGTTTTGGGAATATTTTTGAGAAAATGTTTTGGGATATTTTTTGAGAACTCTCGACAAAATTCTCAAATCCATTTTACTACCCTACTCTAGCGATGGAATCGCCCCCCAGCACACCACCTCGCAAAAGGGGCACCGAATTATCGGTTGGTAGGCGCTATGCCATGGCGGTAGAAATTGCGATGGGCATTCAGCCGGGGTTGTCAAGGATTCCCAAGGGCGTGCTTGACCCGATCTGCGAACGCTACGGTGTTGGAAAGAAGTACCCGTCCAAGTTGTGGAAACGGGTCAAAACCCAGATCGACAACACCCAGGAGCTGGACCTTTCAAACGAAGCAAAGTGGGCGGCCGTCGCTTCTCACCCCTTCAAAGATTGCGGCGGCATCGAGTCCAAGTGATGATAAGGAAGTCGACTTTTTCTTTTTTTTCCCCGCCACCAACCAACCCTTCTTTTTGTCCCGCAAGTGTCTTGATTTTAGTGTGTTCCCCCCAAGTGTCTTGGTTTTAGTGTGGTTCACTACTATACTGATTTTAGTATAGGGGGCGCGACATGGATCGTTGAGTAGAGGGGGGGGTTGGATGAGGGCCCTACTGTTGCTTGCTTTGCCCCGTAAGTGTCTTGGTTTTAGTGTGGTCCCCCCAAGTGTCTTGTTTTCAGTGTGGGGGCCACTATTATGCTGTTTTTAGTATGGGGGACGCGTCATGGATCGTTGAGTAGAGGGGGGGCTAGGTTTAGGGTCAGGGATAATTCTTGGTATTTTTGCCTTGTTTTTGTCATTGCCCCGCCCCCCCCGCCTGGTCGGAGGGGGCAGAATACATGCAAAATGCGGCCTTTTTCAGGCCGACTGGTTTTTCTCGGGCGCTCATGCACGCGGGGTGGCGCATGCATATAAAATAAAATAAATGTTTCTTGCTAAAAAAACTCCGAAGATTTCAACAAAAAAATCGAAAAACAGATCGGACACGGTTAAGGGCCCGTACAAATTTAGGTACCCTAACTTATGATACAGAGGAAGTATATAGACTAGATAGATGTCTTCTATTGAACAGAGGAAACCATCTCCCTCAATACAAAAGACTAGCCAAAAACTTTGTATGAGTGGATCGAAAACAATGTATCTATGCGGAGTGGTTCTTGTCTTTCAGTGGTCAAGGCACATCACTTCGACTGTTGACCACAGCGACCAGTGTGGCTATGTACACATGTGTCTCCTTGTGACTACGACTACGAGGAAAGATTTGGTAGGCACGAAGACATGCGTGCCTCGCGTGTACACCGGTGAAACCGTCATTTGGATCTTTTTTTTGGGCCGAGCGGTCCAATATATTTTTTGAGAGGTCGTGTCTGTCTGTCGACGCGCGCGACCTCTTGCGTGCAGGTTTATCGCAGTAGTCTACACACATATTCTAGAGCAGCAGCAGCAAGCCTACCACGCTTCAACCTCCCACACAAAATCCCCTAAAGGCAACAAGATACAAGCAGCGATGCGAGGCGGCCCGCAGAAAGCGGCGAGACTTGGAGACTTTCCCCAGCCTAACTTGCCCGCTTCCGCGCCGAGACTGCTGGCGGCGGCGCTGAATTTTCTTTCGTGAGTGTTCCCCCGTGTCTAGCTGGCATTCTCTTCTCTTCAGTCTATTAGTCAACTCGTACGCTCGCGCGTGCTGCGCTTGTGCAGAAACGACCTCTATACCTCCGCCAGCCGTAGCGTCGAGGGCGAGAGACAAGCCCGCGATTATTTCATTGCTGTGACTATCAACAACAACGACGCCGAGAGTCGGCCCCTACATGTAGAGCTAGCTACGTAAATGCAACCATCTACAATCGAGCCGCTCGAGAACTAAAAGCGCCCACGACACCTGTCGCGCACCAGTTCTCTGACTCCACCCTTCGACGAACACGGCATGAGGGCGAGCAGATGTTTAGCGGCGGCGGCTTGTACCGAGATTTCAGACAAGGGCTCACTTGCCGCCAGCTCTTCCGCCGTCACATGTGCGTCAACAAGCTACGGCAAAAGTTTTTTGTGTTCAAACGAGCGACGTAAACGTACGTTCTAGACTACAGCTCGCCCTGATTCGTCAATACCCCCCATAATTCCGTCAACTCTCACGTGCTTCGCTTTCGATACGCAGGAGACGACGGCTGTCTATCGACGAGGGAAAAATTAGCTCACGGTACGTAACGTGCGAGCTTGTTTTGGTTCCATCCATTCTGGGCGTCAGCCGTACTCTTTTCCACTGCCGAAAGAGCGTGTAGAGTGTCAGTCGTATATTTGTCCTCCACGTGTATTCTTTTGCTGCATCCGCGCTGTTGGCTGGAGTACGCGCTGAAAGGTTACCTACTGCATGCAAATGTGAACAGCAGGATTACCTGGAATGAGAAAACCCACAATGCGTCACTGAGCGCGCTACAAATGTCCTGTCTAAGCCAGGAAAATAGAAACACCCAGGGCAAAAACAAAACCCACACATCTTTTCAAATGTATTTCGTAGTTACTAGACAAGAGAACATACCCAAAACAAAAAAAACGTATTTCCAATTGTATATTGCATCCCCAAAACTGAACAAGAAATAAGAAATACCCACAACAAAGCAACGACGAAAACAACCACCCATTTCTCATTGGACAAGGTGACGTTGTCGGCGCTTGGCGCTATTAATTGCCCGAACGATGACGACGCCGACGCCGAGTATGGTTCTTGACGAATAACTTCACGGTAACATTTCAAAGCAGGTGGTGAAAAAGTAGTCACCCGACGCACTCCCGTGAAAATACTTCTCTGAATCGCCGAACGCTGTACGGTTCCTGTTTTTTTGTTTCATCACTGATGCATCGAGACATGGAGTGAAGTTTTGGCGACGCGCTTCACAGCAAGCCGTCCAGCTGCGTAGGCTAAACGGCATTCGAGCCTGGGTGGTAGTTAATTTTCAAACTCACTCTTGAATGATGCGCGAGGGCGCAGAGCTCAGAGTACGCATGTATCTAGAGGCTTGCTGCTTGCAGGAGGGTGTTGCGCAGTCTATTTGAGCAGAATTTTTCACGGTATTGTAATACACCGAAGCTTCCACATGTGCCATGGAAGCTACCATTACAGCCAGTCGTGGAAAATTCTCTACGGAGGCCATGGAAGTCTCAGTGAGCGCTCATGGGAGCTCGTAGAGAAGAATCCTGGAAGCTTCTTTCACTCTCAAGGACTTCCAAAATGCACTTACGCCCTGAACGTTCGTTCCCATCCTCAATTTCACGAACTTCTGTTGAACATAGCGGTGATGGAATTCCGTTCTGCAGGAAGTAATGAGATTGACTTTCTTCCATGGGACAGTCGGAAGTTGATGGATACTCCTTCGTCGTGTGCACGGTGTTTCAAAGTGCCCTCTCCCGGCATACTTCCGGAAACTAACGATGATGACATCGCGTGGGCTCGTCAAATACCCGCCGTCATTGGGGAACAGTTTGTTTGCCGGGTACGCCGTCCATCTTCTGCTTCCGCCCATTCTTAAACGTGAACAGTTTGTTTCTTGGCGCGTCTCCGAACCGTGTGGTGGCTTGTCTGCAAGGATAAAGCTTAACTGAGCGAGAGAGTAGAGAGTACGACGGCGGCGGACCCCGGCCTCAACCGATTCGTTGGGGTCGGATGCAATCTTCTGGAAAGTGCCTATATTCGGGCTGCTCCAAGAGACCGACGTACGGCGTCGAAGCGAGCCGAAAGAGAGAGTGCTGCAGCCAGCATGCTCGGCCATGGATGGTTAATATTGACCTCACGAGGTGGGCTCTCTGCGCGAGTTTGTTTAAGGCTCTGCCCATGTTTGGAAAGAGCCAAATGACGCTTGCTTTTGGTGTGAGTCTCCATGATTTATCAGCCTCCCATTTTTGACAACGTGCATCGTCGAGAGAGAGCGGGAAAATACCATGAGGCAATGAAATAACAGATGGGCTGGAGGGGTGCTCGCGTCAACCAAAAAGCTCACCCCGCCCCCCACGCCAAAGAGAATGACGGCCTTGGTAGCACCACGAAGTCCGGATCTATTCAAGTGTTGTTTTTTCATGTAGCGGTTCTACAATAATTACCTACACAAGCTCCCGCCCAACCCGAACCTGACGACCACATTCCCAATGAATTGAGTGCTGGGGAAAGCTGGATGGGGTCTAGGGCACTGCAAGAAGAATGCCGGGCATCGGGGAAAATGGAACGGGGGCTGATACGCATACTTCGCTAGCGAATAAAGTAGTAGTGCGTCGATGGGCTCATGTGCCCACCACGATCGCGCTTTGCTCAAATTGTATCATTGGGCCGTCGTCCTCAACGCCCCCCACCGAAACCGGTGTTGTTGTCTGTGAAGGTGCGCCAAGGACAACTGCGAGACTCGCGCCACCTTCGGTGAACCGGGGAGCGGTCGGCGTCAGTTCTGCAGCAAGCACGCTCCAAAAGGCATGCTCAACTTGGAGCGAAAGAACTGCTCGGCAGACGACTGCCTGATGCCGCCGACGTACTGGCACGAGGGGAACCGGAAGCGGAGGTTCTGCAGCAAGCACGCGGAGGACGGCATGGTCAAGTTGGACAAAAAGCTGTGTCCGGTCAAGGGCTGCGTTACGTCGGCGTCCTACGGGGTCATGGGGAAGAAGCGAACCTTCTGTGCCGTGCACGCTGAGCCAGGCATGGTGTCCATCGGGGGAAGGCGGTGCGCGGAGGGAGCCTGCGGCAAGCGCGCGAACTACGGCGTCGCCGGGACCAACAAGCGGGAGTTCTGCGCCTCTCACGCGGAGGCCGGGATGGTGAACATCAACAACCAGAAGAAAGGCTCGATTCAGAGGAAAAAGGCCAGCGCCACCAGCAACAACGCCGGGCCACACGATGATATCGAAGAGGAGAGCGACGAGAAGCCGGCCGTGCGCGGCGACGGTCGACGAGCCAGTGATGCTTCCGTCTTGGGCAAAGAAGAAGAAGGGGGAGTGGGAGCGAGTTTCGCTGGTAGCGCCGAGGAGAAGGGACCGGTGAGCATGGCCGCAGACGAACACAACAATTCCTGGAGCGAGCCCCGCTTGCCGGTAGCGGCGACTCGCGACGGGGGAGTGTGGGACTTGAGAGGACCCCGTGGCGTTGGTAGCAGCAGTAGCGGAGGCAGCAGCTCCGGCGGCGGCGGTGGCGGCAGAGGGAATGAAAGCTCTGCTGCTTACACAGGCCCCCGGGCCAAAGGCAGCAAGGCGGCAGGCAGTCCCCCCATGGCGGCAGCAGAGGGAGTCATGAGGCGGCACAGCGATGTGAAGCATGAGGAAGCTGCAGGAAACTTCAGGGCTGAAGGAACACCTACAAGTTCACCAGAAGAGGACGCGAGGCAGGGGGCTAAGTCTTGTTCTCCAAAGGAAATAGAAGGACGCACCGCATCGGAACAATATGGGGGGTCTGTAAGGTCAACGTCGTCGTCGTCACCGCTGACCGGGAGGAGGCCGAAACGGCCGAAGAAGGTGATGCGGCCGTGGCCGAAAAGCAACGGCACCACCGTTCCGCTTCTGCTTACGTCAGACGGGTGGTCGAGCTGGGAGTGGCAACCGCTGGCCATGAGTTGATCTCGTTCCAAATCCCTTACCGTATGCACGAAAGTGTCATGCAATGGTAGAGGGTCACCTAATCTTAGTGGACGTCTTGGCGGGGAGACACACACTGGGTAGGTGAACATGTTGGCCCCTTCCGATTTCGCCGTAAGATCAACGAAACAGGACTACACGTTTCGTCCCAACGCTGTAAGATTTCATCCCAAAAGCGCGCCCCCCACCATAACATTAGTGTCTGTCCAAAAATGCCGTTCCTCACGCCTGGATGGCGGCGAAACCCGTACCATCGGTCGGCAGTCGAGTCCAGGGGTAGTGATATTTCGAAGCGATATTATTACCTGGCTGCGCTGTGCTTCTCCATACCAGAGCTGCACTGACTTGAACTCCGCCGTGATGACGGTCTTGCATGAGCACATCGAACGCCAGTGATTGTCGTCCATCACGGCTGTGACACGGATTCCGTTTCAAGTGAATGGAGTGCAAAGCCGTCGCAACGAGCCAAGAAGCCACTAACCGCGGCCTTATGAGGGGCTCCCCCATTCAGCCTCACACCTTATGGTTTGGCTCGCTTGGATCCACTGAGCTTCGCGCGGCATGCTGTCGCCTTTCGCAGAAATAATTTTGCCTTCAATTGGACATCGTGTGTTACAGTATGTCCTTCGTGCGCCTACAATAGCGTTCCCCCAACCTAGAAGAAGGGTTGACACCGACGAAACGAATCGCTTCGTCGGCTACTCGCATCTTGTGATACCTGCGGGAGCTAGTACGGTACGCCGTAGCCCCCTGTGCCTCTCTGAGTTGGTCAAGTACAGTACGTGCCCACGTGCAGGGCCCACCCTCCCGCCAGTGCTCCTCTCCTGCGTGATCCCAGCAAGAAGAGAGCGGCAACAGTGAAGTGACAAGCAGAAAATCCTTCCTCGTGTGTCGTATTACGTGCACATGTAGTGGTGCTTGCACTCGCCCACCTCATGCATCTCGTACAACCATGTCGCCCAATAGAAGTATGAGAGGAACGCTTGTTTAACATACTCCGGGTAGTATTTGGCCAATTCACGACTTTGGGGGCCAACATTAATTGTTCAGCCCATTTTAGTTGTCATACACTCTATCTGTCTTGTGTTGCCGTTGCCAAGGCCGGACGAGCCGGGATGCTTGCTCGGTGTGCTCTGACGAAAAGCCGAGTGCACCAGCTATTTAGCTGAGGTCCGAAACGGGAAAGCACCAAAAGATGCAAATTGTTGAGAAGCACGATGACCACGAGACTACTAGTCTAGTGGTCATCGTGCTTTCTTACAAAAGTTAATGCCGGAGTCCGTCAAGCTTGCTTCAAGCCATGAACATGCTCCCCCAGGGTTGCCATCCCTGCGATTAGGGCTGTCTTGCCCGGAAAATTCCATCGGTAGAAGAGGTTCATGGCTGACTTTGTGAGGCTTATTTTCACAGACTCTTTTTCCTCATACAAAGGGCGCAAACAAGGTCCTCGAAGGAAAAAATGCTCAAGGGGAGACTCGAACCCCGGACGTGAGCACTTGCAAGCAAGCACGATGACCACTAGATAGACTACTATGGTCGCACAATGGATCGCGATGTCGCACGTTCAAGCAGTTGGCGACTGGCTCCCAGAAAGCAAACGTGGCCAGACACCGCGCGATACCTCGGAAGTAGGGGTGGGTCCGCATGATGAGTAAGCGGGGTAGATTGATCAAGTCAAACGTAACCTCACGAGACCAAGGCTGTATAGACGAGTAAAGTTGCGAGCTTGCGTTCCCTGTTGAGCAGTGGTAGAAGCGGAAACGGCAAGTTTGCAAGGCAGGTGGTTGGTTCCCTGAATGGGTGGTTGTCGACGTTTGTGAAACCTGGTCAATGACTTGTTCCAAAATAATTTGGTTGTTTGCTACGCAGATTGTTTCGCTCGTTTGGACCTTAGTCAATGACTTGTTCCAAAATAATTTGGTTGTTTGCTACGCAGATTGTTTCGCTCGTTTGGACCTTTGGTCAAAAATCTACAATCTTACAGATGAGGCGCTACACGCAAGCTAGGCTGCTTTTTTCCGTGTGTTCCTGTAGCACAGCTGGGTCAGCGTGGGCCGGCATCGATGACGAGCAATGCAAAGGGGTGATGAGAGCGAGGCACGTTTGCCATTTTTCTAACCTCATAGAAACTTTTGGCGATCCATCAAGATCCATGGTAGCTTTTCGAATTTCTCCCCCTTCCGGGGGGGGGACACACTTCCCACAGAAAACGATCCATTGGACTCCCATGGGCACTTTTTTGCCCATGGGCGGCCAGTGAGAGCTCTTCAAGCGAACTGTACTCTTAAACAATAGACTATCTGCTTTGGAACGGGCGCTATAGCGGTGAACAACCCTAACGCTACCCCTGACCCTAATCCCAAGCCCACGCGATACGTGCGAGGTCGGTGCTGGTGGCTATGTTCTAGGTTGATGTTGAAGTGGCTAAGTTCTAGGTTGAAAGGTTCAAGTGCCCACAGTGGGCACTTCATGGGCCGCCCACAAGCCGCCCATGGGCATGCCCAAGAGGTCGACGGCAGCCCATGGGCGGCCCATGAAGTTCGGCAGCCCATGGATGGCCCATGAAGTGCCCATGGGCGGCCAATGGTTGACCCTTGGGTGTCCCATGGGCGGTTAAGCAAAACTGTCAGTAGTGTGGGAGTGGGAGATTAGGGGGGGGCGGGGGGTGGCCTGTCTGTGTGTCCGGAATATTTTTTCGCGTAGACCCTCGGGCGCGGCAAATGAAATCCTCGAAGGATAGAATGCTCAACGGGAGATTCGAACTCGGGACATCAGTTTTTGTTCAGAAGCACAATGGCCCTTTACTACTCTAGTAGTCATCGTGCTTCTCAACATAAATTACGGGCTCAGGGCCCATAGGTAGGACTAGGCGGGGACGTATTATATAAATTTTCGCGCGAAGCGCGAAAAAACTTGAACAGGCGTTTTCCCGGTCGGGCTGTTTTTTGGCTGTTTATTTCCACTCCCCCCGATCCACTGTTTTGGGCATATGTCCTTGAGATGTGAGCCGATTTCGAAACGGTTTCTTGCAATGCATTCCCAGGCACGTCGTGCATACCGTCCAACTTAATATTATTGTTGAAAGGCGGCAGATGGTGCCGGAAAACACACATACACACACACACACACACACACACATTTTTACAAACATAAAAACACACATTTTTTCCCGCTGGCACTGACGCCTTTGATTTGGTCAGCCGGTTAGCGTGGTCGATGCTATAATATACACACACACACACACACACATCGCCTGGGCAGCCGTGGTGTATCTGATGTCTCAATCGTGGGCGGTTTGTTAGTTTCCTTTACCATCCGAAATTCTGGGCGACTGCCGTACAATTAGTGCACTCTTAACTGACCGAACGGCCTTTCGAACCGGTAGGCAAATATTTACTTTTTTTTACGTGTGTCCAGCTCTTTTCGACCCGGCAGTACAGGCTAACTATCACCATCCTCCACGTGTGCGTATGAGCCCTTGCATACATCGCACGGGCAGGGCAGAAACGTTCTCTTCCTTTGCTTAGGGTTCCAGACTTTGTCCGACTCTGGACGCCGCAAGCTCTGGTCCACTAAACATTTTTTCGCCGGTTCAACGTCGGGCTGGGGCGCTGAACCTTTCGCCTTATGTCCACGGCGATTCCCAGGGTGTTTAGCAGGGTATGCACCCTTGTGGTGTCCGCATTCGGTGCAGGCCCTGAACTGCGGCAACGCCGCCCGCGCCGCCCGCGCCGCCCCCGCCGCCCCCGCCCCAGGCGCAGCCAAGATCGGCGACCCCTCTACCGGGTCACCCCCTGCCTCGGAGCCCCCCTACAACCACGCCATGCCCACTGCCTGCTCCCGGAAAGACCTTGTAGCTTGGCAGAACTTTGCCAGTGACGAAGGGCGGCCTCCGCGGTGGCGTCGGACACCACGTGACCTACCGCCACGCAGGCGGAATGGCTGGCGTTGTAGAGGCGCACCTGTAGTACGCGCAGAGGGCAAAAGAACGAGGGAAAGCGTTGTTGCTTGGGTTTCAGCACAAATTTGGAACCTGCCATGATCTGTTGTTGTCGGTCCACATCAAAGTGAAAGTGCGGCCGGTACCACAATGCGTAGGCGCTCACCTTCAAGCCGATAGCCGGGTCGAACGGTGAAGAAGGCACGGACGTGGTCGGGTCCTTGTTCTTGTGGATGGCCTCGTACAAGAGTGCCGAGGCAACGGCGTCCCTGATGGCCTAGTCGAGCTGTTCAACGGAGAGTTGAGCGCTCCCCCAACGGGAGCATCGGACGGTATCCTTCGGCAGCTGCCCCCCCAGGAGGCACGCCGTCAAGCCGGCGAGTGTTCGAGACGATGTCACCAACTTGGAAACGGCGAGGACACGCAGGTCCACCGTGCTCGCCATTTTCACGCCATAGTCGTTGAGCATATGCGTGGCATCCGTGTTGATGACAACACCAGCCTGCACAGAGGAAACATCGAGTCGCCGAGTCGGCGTTCAAAAAGTATCATGAGGAAGACGCTCACAAGACGGATGCTAAAATTTGGCGGCCGACACAGCAGTGGCATCACAGTCTGCTTATTATGCTTACCGTACTTCAGAGTACCCCAGAAGAAGTAGGAAGGGGCATGTCAATATTCGTTTTTTCCCTCATTGCGAACCACACAGCAGTGTTTGCTACCACTCACGGTGTTGTAGGCTACACATAGTCTAGACTGCATGTAGTTCAGCGTTGCAGTATACGTTCTACTTCTTTCTACAACCAACCACAGCCACCATACCAAAATTTCAAAAAGTCCTACACGTATTCATACGTATAGCTATACAAACAGCAGTACATATTCTACACTCGGTAAGATCAACTGCTACAGCAGTCTAAAACAATGTCATAGACCAAGTACATAGATATCCCGTTCACGCGTTGCCTACTGCTGGCGACCATCGTTGTACAGCACAGACAGTCTCCGGGGGGGGGGNGTACATACAGCAGTCGTTGACCATGACCTTGCATCCCTACAAAGCCGGGACGGAGCACGTCGGGTTCTCATCGGACCAGGCTCTCGCATCACCAAGCGCGAAGCACCGTGAGAAATTCGGCGAGTCGCATGAAGGGTGCGCTACATCCTGCTAGGGGTGTTCGGCATCTTGTGCTTACTTCCTTGGTACGGATACAGCTGCGTATAACTTGGTCTATTTTCTGGTGCTTTCACTTCCAGAGACAGTTATAAGCAGCTGTGTAACTGCCTCGGGGGTGCCTGACCATTTTAACACAACATCGTGCGATCATCCCCCATGCGCGGAGTGAGGGTTCTCCACCCCACACAACATGATCCTCTCGATCGGCCACTATGATGGTTACCGCCAAAAAAAAAACAGAGGTAAAAAAAAACAGTAACCTGGTTGCCGAGTTCACGAGGTGATTTGGCTTGTTTTACAACGTCGTTGCCAAGCGACGAAAACCCAATCCCGATGGCAAACACCGATGGGGGGGCTTGTTGTGCAGCATCGTTGCCAAGCGACGAAAACCCAACCCCGATGGCAAACACGGGGAGACAGTCTCCGGGGTACGGTCAAAAAAGTAGGGAGTACGTAGTCGCTGTGTCGATTGCTGTAGACCGGTACACCTGCATACCCGCACACACACGGTGTGTGTGCATCGGGTGGGTCCTGGCGAACCAGCTTTTGGTTGCAGATTCGTAGACGTTAAAAAATCGCTGCCTCTGTGTGCTTTTACTTGCTGAAGAGCTGAACTAAAGAGGCCCCAAAAGGCCCGCCCGGTAGTGTGTGAGCACTGTAGCCCGGTGTATCATGATGTGTCGCACATGGTGCATTTACATTGCACCAGCTTGAAGAACACACCGAAATGTATGCTCTGTGTGCTGCGTCGTATGTATGTGTATTTCTTCTCCGCGGAGATGTTGAAGAACGGGACAGGCAACAACATCATCATCGTTTCTGATGCTGGGCGTCAAAGCCATCAGGTAGAATGGACCGTTATTTCACCTACTGCCTGTGCATACTTCGTAGCATGCATGGGTAGCACACACACATCCAGATGGACAAACCTTCAAGTAGCTGTAGTGACACAGCGAGCGGCGGGAGAGAGAGGGATCACGGGTGAAAGCACTCGTTGGGTTGAGGGGACAGCGGGGTGTGGGCCGTGCCCTGTGGAGTAACTATCTGGCAAAGTAAAAACCTGAAAAAGCGGAGACAAGCTGGACATGCTGCGACAAGCTTGACAGCTATTTGACGTGTTCGATTTCTTCACATGAAACATGGCCACTCCCGCTTCCCCGCGCGACCATGACACACAAGCACACACAGAGCAGACACTCTCCAACGACGGCAGCAAAAGAGAAAAAGGCGGAGCCTGCTGCTGCTGCTGCTGCTGCAACTAGAAACAAGAAGCTCTCCCTGCAGGTATTTCTACCACCACCTCTCGCTGTGAGTCCGAGTACCTCTCGTTTGTCTGCGAAACAGGGAGGCTCAAAACGAAATAAAAAGCTGGAAAATGCATCTTAGTTTTGTTTATTAGGCAAGGTCGGTTCCTGGCCTGTCGAATCACTGTCTCAGAGGGTTATCTAGACCTTTGGCTCCGCCACACCCCAAGCTACGGCTCAGCCGCCGGCGATAGAGCGCTATGCGACACCTCGCGTCTAGTCTAATCACTCATCTCCAGAGCGGCGTTGCCTAGCTGTCGTGCCGTCGTGGAAAAGCGTCTCGCCCACAACCACAGACATTCCGAGGCCCATGATGTGTGTGTACAGAACAGTCGTGCACTAAAAATCAACGCCGAACGTAGGCATCAGTCGTAACGACTACAAAGCGAGTTATAGTCATGCGCCCTCCACGCTTGGGGGCCAAAGAGTGCGAATGTCACACCTTGGAAACTCCCTCCACCAACACGGACGTGAGCATCCCACTCGTCTCGTACAACAGCAGCGGCTGGCCGCACGCGACGGGAGGCAGTCACGATCAGATCATGGTTGCCGCATGATGAGTGGTGTATTTTTTTTCCACTTTTTTCTCGCCATGCATCATCATTATCGGTGATCGGGCCCTTTCTTTCGGGAAGTTTGGCGGAAAATGCGGTCCATGTGTGCCCGCGGCAAATTTGCACCACAGCAGTTTAGCGTGGTAACGAAACACCATAATCCTGCTCTGTAGTTGGTCGTATCTAGCAACGGTATAGAAGGGGTCTGTCTAATAATGTGCATTTGATCACTCTCCGACACGCAGCTTGCTTGCCATCCCGCGAGTAACCGCATCTGCTGTGCGTTCATTTGTACTTATAATGCTGCGTTGAATATATATACACTCGGCGCTCCATAACAATAGTTTTTTAAATGTTTTTTTGCTGACTGGTCTGCGATCCGGAGGGGGGGGGGTTCTAATGACCGTTTTTTTTTTTTGGCTGGTTGTTTGTTCCTTTTTTTTTTCCAACTGCTGCAGCTGTGTGACGGCGACCTCTTTCAGAACCACTGGCGTGTGTATGACGCCCGAAGTTGTGTCATGCATGTAGCACACACACACGACGCCCGCAGCTTCTTTCTGACACAGCTGTACTGTGCACATCAAAGACGTCCATGTGCCTGCTGAGAGATGTTGGGAATCAATCCATCCACCAAAGTCCGCCGAAACGCCCCGCAGCCAGCTTGCTGTCCATGTAAATGGCGTAGTCGTCTTTGGCTCTTACTTTGGAGCGGAACACGCCCCGCCTAGCGACCCTGCTGCACGCCGCAAGAAATTGGTGGGGTGCCCACAAATGGTTCGTGTTTTCAGTTTGCTGTTACATGCGTGCCCCCTAACTACAGCAGCTGCGGCCACTCAGGATCGTTAGCCATTCATGTCGATGCGGAAACAGCCTCCTCAGCAGCAATACACCTGGACCAGCCCTTCTGCTGTAGCCGATGTAATCACCATAGAAATATGCATGTATTTTTCCGCCCCCTCTTTTGACTCCGAGAAGGCGGTCGAATTTCAACGACTAATTTTTCTGTTGCCCTCTCCCCCGTTTGCTGTCGCGTTCAGACTGTCTCTGGGGATATCCCTGTCTCTGTGCGAGTTTGTTTGTGTCCTCGTCTTTGCTTTATTTATTCTGTTTTATTTTGTCTTTTGTTTTGTTTTTTTACTGGC